TGCCCGCGCTGCCCGCGCCGCGTCCCCGGGAGGGCGCCCCTGCTCCGCGCGTCCCCTGGACGCGGCGGGTCCCCAGCGCGCCGTTTCCCGGCCCGGGAGCCTGGCGTCTCCAACGCAGACCCGTCCTCGGGGTCCCAACCACTCAGCCACTTGCCCGCTCCCCCCAAAGGCGGGCAGGACTTTTTTTTCCAGGGACCCTTCAGGTCCCCGCCTTGCTCCTTGGTTCCACAACACGGTCAACGTTTTCCCAGGCCGTGAGCGCTTTCTCAGACATTAATTTCCGGGGATCTCAAAACATAAGCCCCCACTGGCTTCGCCAAATTTACACGCGTGGTCCCGGGTCTCCGAATTCCCCGCGCGTGTCCCCCCGGGCCCCTTACAGCCTTACACACACACACCCTGGGGCCTCGCAGACCCGCAGGCCACCGGTCCGTGCCCCCTGCAATTTCAACATTCCCCGGTCCTGTGGTCACGCAGGCCAACGGGCCTGGCTGCCCAGAGGGTGGACAGGGTTCTTCTGGCCCTTAGGTACGTGCACCAAAACAAGTAGGACCCTTTCCTTGATTCCCCACAACGTTGGACATTAACTATAAGGTCTCCCTAGCATCCTGCCCCTCTTCTGACACCCCCACACCGGGTACCCACAGTTTGGGATATCTGCGGGCTTCCACAAAATTTCTGGCCCAAAACTGAGCTCCCTAAATTTCACACACAGAGTCCCAGGTCCACCAACACACTAAACAAATTACCCAGAACCCTCAGGACTTTGCTTAGGAGACTCCACCAGGGTTTCAGAATTTTCCCAAAACACACCAAGCCTTTTTCTGAAGCCCAAACAGTCCATGCTTACCCAGGTCCCACCAAGCCGAGTGGGTGATTTCTGATCCCCCAAGCTCACCGAGCATTTTTTTTTCCTATGGGCCATGAAGATGTGGGGGATTCATTTCTGGGGCTCTCCGAGTTTCCTGGCCACTACTCAGGTTCCTTCACGTTCAGGCCGTCACCCAGGCCCCTAAAGGGCACCGAGCAGTTCCCCGAGATCTGATGCGCTCGCCTGTGACCGTCACGCAGGTTCCCTGAAATCTCCCAGGCCCCCGACCCCCCGGGCCATGCCACATACAAAACAAAACTGTGCCTGTTATACCGGGTTCTGTGAAGTGTCCCCAGTCACCAAATGTTCTAGACGATTTCTCTGCAGCATAGCGTTTTGATTATTTAAAAATTCCCTGGATCTCCCCAGCTTACTGACCAGAACCCGGGTTTTCTCAAATTCAGACACTGATCAGAAATTCCGGACGCCTCCGGACCCTTTCCCTGACCACCGATACTTGGATTTGCTGAGTTCTCTCAAATATTAGGCATTGCCCTCCAGGCCCCCAACGTCCAGTGTCACAATCAGACCACCGAAAGGCACTGCTTTCTTGGGCTCCAAAGTATCCACGCTTCCCACTGAGTCACCCTGAATTTTAGCAACATTTCCTGGATCCCCCACACAGCTAACTCCCAGTAGTTGTGGACACTGGTTTCCAGGCCCCACGATTTAGGAACTCTTAATCCATTCCCCTCAAAGTTAGATATCGACCCCCAATTCTCCTGAGAACTGTAAACGTCCCTGGATCCCCAGATTCAAAACTTAACTTTCCTGGGGCCTCTAAATCCAGTCACTGCCCCTAGCCCTCCAAAGTAAATTGAGATTTTTTTTCTCTCCACAAAACAACTGAACTTTCTCTGAACATTGATTTATGGGCCCTGACTTTATGACCCTTTCCCTGTACCCCCCTAAATTTAGGCAATTTTTTCCATGGGCCCCCCAAATGAAACTGTCCAGAGACTGCGAAATGCCCCCAGATCCTAGAAGTCCCTCACCACAAACCAGGAAGCCTGTAATTTAACTGTCAGTCGCCTCTGGACAGTTTCCAGTGATCCCCAAAATTTCGGCTATGTGTCAGAAGGGTCCCCTGAATGCAGACAGTACTCAGGAAAACAGGGTATTTTTCCTGTTCACCAAAAATACACCTATGGTAAGTGAATCAATCCTAAAAATAAAATATAAAAGACGTCGATTTTCTACACTCCCTGAAAAGTACTGATCACACCCCAGGCGCCCCCAAATTTCCACCGAGTTTTTCCGGAGCCTCTAAAGGACACTGAGAGTCCCCCCGAAGCCACAACAGTCATGGACGTTGCTTTCCTCCAGCCCTGCAGCTCCAGGCCGAGAACTTGGTTGTTTCTGAATTGTGGAAATTAATCTCCACTTCGCTCCACCACGTGGACGTTTTCCCTAGATCCCCAAAATGTGTCCATTGTTTTCTTCCTTCAATTTTAGACAGTGTGCGTCCTGGGTCCGTGTAGAGAATTTTTCTTGAGTCACCTAAAAACCTACCTCCCCACAGACCGTTTTGGGGTTCCCCAAGCATGCTGACCAAGATGCTGGGTTCCCCACATTTGGAGCTCACCTCCCCCTACTGCACGGAGCAATTTTCCACTGACCCCCACACTTGGATTCTATTTTCCTGGAGCTCCACATTTAGTCGTGGATCGCAGTTCCCACATCAGGGAGCCTCCCCTGGGTCCCCCACTTCTGGACACCCATTCTTTCCGCCTGCAAATCAGACAGAGCTCGGACTTGGGTCCCCCGATATCTGGGCATTGTTCCCGGCCTGCCCGCCGCCCTCGGCAGCCCCCAACCCCGTGCACTACAGGCCTCTCAGTTTCCTACAAAGTCCCCGGAGCTCCTGGATTTAGGAAATTTCTGTGTTCCCCAAACACCCTTGGCCTGGCAGCGTGTCCGCCAGGACGTGGGCAGAACTTCTCCCGCGTCCAGGAAAACGACTGGGCATTGCCCCCAGTTTCCCCCAAATTTGGGCATTGTCCCCGGGTCTTCCAACGGGCTGGGCGTTGCCCCCGGACATTGGGGACTGCCCCTGGGGTCTCGCTCACCTTCAGCAGCGTCCACCGCCCGCCGAAGAGCGCTCGCTCCTGCCTCGGCTCCTAGCGCGCCCGCGGACGCAGCCTCCAGCCTCGCGGTGAGCTCCCCGCCGCCTCCGTGCCCGGCCGGGCTTCCGGCCCGCACCGCCGCGGTCCCGCCTGGGCTGGCCGGCGCTCGCCTCGGGCGGCCGCCGGAGACACCGGCGCGGGACGCGGGAGCCCGCTGCGGGCTTGCCGCTGGGCGGCCGCACTCGCTGGGGACAGGCACCCCGAAACCGGCACCGCTTTAGTTTGATCTTTGTAAAGATCTAAATTGTGAGGAGAGCGCCTTGGCGCCCCGAAGCGGGGCGGGCAAAGCGCTGGTCGGAGGGACGCCGAGGAGAGGCGCACCGCGCTCGCCCGGCGCCTCCAGCCCGCTGGGCCGAGGATCGGGGAGGCGCGCGCGGAGCGCGGGCGAGGTGATTGATGGCGGAGTTAGGGGGCGAGCCCCGCGCGGTCTTTCGCCGGCAGCCCCTTACCGTACAGAGGCGCGGGCGGCAGGGACTCCGGGGGACAGCGGGGCGCGGGGGCCTATGCGTGGTTTTGACTTGGTAAAAGTCACAACGAGTGTTTTCATCGTCCAAACTCTCCAGATGGTTTCCCTAGGCCCCCAGATTATCGTGGTGGCCCGCGGGGCTGAACCCGAGTCTACGCAAGTCCAACGCACTGAGGACGGGGAAACCATTATCCGGATATTTTGGGTGGGCCCTAAAGGCGAGCTGCTTAGACGCACCCCGGTGAGCTCGGTCATGCAGGTAGGACTGGAGCGATGTTGCAGCCTTGCTCTCCGCTACGCCGACACCCGCAGCCTCGCAGGCCGCAGCCTGGCTGCGATTCAGGCCTGGCCCGGCGGGTCCTCCGCACGGACCGCACCTGGCAGCTGCCCTGGCTCGTACCCGGCTCCCGCGCGGCACCGGGGGGCGCTCGGGCTCCGGCTGCGGCTCGAGGCGTAGCGCGTGTTCGGGCAGGTGGCGGCAGCGCGCTCTGCGCGCGCCCAGGGTCTCCCCCTCCCTCCGCAGTTCCCAGTAGTACTGTGGACCCTCGAGCCACACCGAGACACCTGCACCCTCACTCCGACGGGGCGCCCCCGCCGCACAGCCCCCTGGCGGGAAGCAGGGACCCCTGCCACCGGTCGGGCCTGGGACACCGCCCACCCGGCTCGCCCCGTGCCCCCCGTGCACACGCGCAGGAAACCTGGCACCCCACAACCCGAGATGGGGCCCCTTAACACTTTCGAACGGCGATTTGGGATTTCTTGCACACTTTGCCGCTCCCTGCCCCCAACCCCATCTCGTCCCCGCGCACCCCACGGCCCCCTCCCCCACCTTCCAGTCTCCCGGGCCCCGAGGCCCGCGCCCCCCTCCCCCTGGCTCGAGTTGCGGAGGCGGTCCGGGGGCGGGGCGAGGGCCCGGCGGGCGCCCATTGGCGCGGGCTCAAGGCCAGCGGGGCCCGAGCGGGCGCCGCGCCGCGGGGTGGCGCGGCTATAAGAGCCGGGCGTTGGCGCCCGCAGTTCGCCTGCTCTCCGGCGGAGCTGCGTGAGGCCAGGCCGGCCCCCGGCCCCCCCTTCCGGCCGCCCCCGCCTCCTGGCCCACGCCCGCCCGCGCTCGGCCCGCCAGCGCCGCCACCGGGCTGGCGGCCCCGCGTCGACGTCGTCCGCCACGCTGCTGATTCCCATCACGGGCGCCGTCGGCGGGGTCGCGCTCCGCCGGTCCTGCGGACCCCCCGCCGCCTCCTCTTCTATCTACCTCAACGCCCGTCCCGCTTCGCCCGAGGAGGCGGTCCCCCCCGCAGGCAGTCCGGCTCGCAGGCCGCCGGCGTTGTCATCATCCCCCTCGCTCCCCCTCCAGCCCTCCCCGGCGCGCAGCCTGGCCGCTCCCACTCCTCGCTGCGTCCCGAGCGGATCCAGTGCTGCCACCGCTGCCCCCCCGAGGCCAGGGCTCGCGACGGCCGAGGGCTCCGTCGGCCCAAACCGAGCTGGGCGCCCGCGGCCCGGGTGACGCCTCCGCTCCGCCCCCCCTCAACACCGTCCCCGGCCCCCGACGTTGCGCCCTTCCCTCGCTTCTCTGTGCTCCCCTCTCCCCCTCTCCAGCCTCTGGTCCCGGCCCCTCGCTCTCTTTTCTTCCGCAGCCTTCCCTTCGCTCCCTCCCGTCCCCCCCAGCTCCGCGCCTCAGACTCCCGCCCCCCTTCCCAGCCCGCCCTCCCTCCTGCGTCCCAAAGTGGATTAATTATACGCTTTCTGTTTCTCTCCGTGCTGTTCTCTCCCGCTGCGAGCCTGCCCGCCTCTCGCTGTCCTCTCTCCCTCTCGCCCTCTCTCTGGTCCCCCCCGTTCACGTTCACTCTGTCTCTCTCTCTGTCTCTGCCCCTCTCTATCCTTGATACAACAGCTGACCTCATTTCCCGGTACCCTTTCCCCCCCTAAAAGTACAACATCTGGCCCGCCCCAGCCCGCAGATAGCCCGACCTCCCCAAACAATCAGAGGACTCTTCCCCCCCCCAAAAAAGCCATCCCCCCGTTCTGCCCCGTCGCACATTCGGCCCCTGCGACTCGGCCAGAGCGGCGCTGGCAGAGGAGTGTCCGGCAGGAGGGCCAACGCCCGCTGTTCGGTTTGCAATACGCAGCAGGGAGGTGGGCGGCAGCTGTGCCGGCTTCCAGGTAAGCGTCGTGCGGGCCGGCAGGGCTGGCGGGGCGGGGGACTGGGCCCGGTCGGGGGTGGGGGCAGGTCGGGTTCCCCGTGGCGAACCTCGCTTTCTCCTTGGCGCTGCGGAGGGGGCGGGGTAGGGGCTTCGGAAAAGGCCGAGAGAGGTGTGATCTGTCTGCAAAAGCGACTTCCTGGTCGGTTTGGGGGTGCAGGGGGGTGTTGCTGAAAGTTTGTGATTTGCGCCGTGCGAGGGCGGGGCGTCCCCCCAGGGTGCTGGGTAATGAGGAGGGGCGCAAATCTCAGAAACCCACCCTGGTATGTTGACTCCGTGCCAGCAAGACGGAGGGAGGAAAACTGGGTGGGCGGGGCCAGGATGGAGCGAGGGGGGCCGAGTTGGTAAAAAAAAAAAAAAAAAAAAAAAAAAAAGCCCTGCCAGACGCCACATTTACAATATCCCCCTTAGGGCCCCCCTTTCCCTGTCCCCAACATTTCCAAGCAGAAATCTGGGGAGAGGGGCTGCTCTGGGCTCAAAGGGCAGGCATGCACAGCCCATAGAGAGTAACTGACCCTGCCCCGTGAGCAGATGGAAGTTTCCATACAAGGAGGTGGAAAGGAGCCCCCTTCCTGGCCCCCATTGCCCTTTGCGGACTTGGGCTGGGGGTTCAGGATGAGGCCCCCCCCCTCCACATGGTACTCTGCTAAGGGATGGTCCAGAGCTAGCGGTGGGGGTGCAGAGGAGAGAAGGGACTGGCTGGAAGCAGGGAGGGGGCGGGAGCAAAGGGGCGGGGGGAGTGGTCAGCAGGGAGAGGGGTGGGGGGTAGGGTGGAGCCGGGGCTGGGAGGAGTCGGCTCACACATAAAAGCTGAGGCACTGACCAGCCTGAGAACTGGACATTAGCTTCTCCTGTGAGGCAGCCTTCCAGCCTCCTCCTCCTCCTCCTCCTCCAGCCCCGGGAACCTCCTGTCCATCTGCAGGTAACCAGCGCTGTCGAGCGAGAGCCCCACTGCCCTCTTGCTCCGGCCAGCCTGCCGATACCCTCGGCCTCAGCCCTTCGGCTCCTGCCCTCCAAACCGCTGCCCTCCGCGGGCATGCCTAGCCAGCCTTCTGCTCCCTGCTGGTGTTCGGGACTGGACCCCACACTGGAGAGGCCGGGCTTGCAGAAGAATGGAACCGCTTGGCTAGTGCCGAGGCACTAGCTGGCCAAATCTATTCTGTGGGGGCAGCAGTGGGGGGCAGAGGGAGACTAGCCGGGGTCCAGTCCAGGGTAGCAGGAGGTGAGCGAGGTGGCACCCCGGATCTTTCTGTGGAGTTGGCCATGGCTCTTTATGGCGCTTCATGGAACAAGACCGTTTCTTTCTTAGCCCCTCGGCTCCTCGATATTTATTGCATCAAGAATTCTCTGGGCCCGCATGCTGCAGTCACCATCCAGGCTGGGAGGGCCTCGCTGCTGGCTGCCCGTGTGCCCACCGGGTGTGCAGCCTGGGAGGGGCACATCTCTGGGCAGCCTGCCCAGCCCCTTGTTCGGGTTGCATCAGGGTGCCAATGGACTCCGAGGCACTGGGCTATGGCTGTGCCCCCAGAAAGGGCTTATACCTGGGGTTGCGGAGGACAGGCGGGGGCTGCCCGCCTGGGGGGCTTCCACTTTCTGGCGGGGGCAGGGGCATCTTGCTATGTCTAAAGAGAAGCTGCGGTCCCCTCCCAAGCCTCCCGCTCCTGAAGGGACCTGGCTAACCCTTGCCGAAGGCTGCAGCCACACAGCCTGTGCAGGGGGTGTGTCTTGAACTGCCACTCCTTCCCAACTGGACCCTGAGGAACTTGGTGTCGGGCCTCCAAGTGGCCTACCTTGCTCCCTCCAGCTCCCCTGGGTGGGGTTTGGTACCCGAAATTGGGAGAGGTGGTCCCCAGGGGGTTTTGACTTTTCTGCCCGAGTTGGAGTGCCAGGGCAGACTGCAGTTGGGGGACTGGGGGAGTTAGGAGAACAGGTTCCTGAGAGTGTGGCTGGTACTGTCGTGCCGACCATTGGACCCTTGACCTGAGCTCTGCTCAGCCACCGCCTGGGAGGGTGGGGCGGGCCTGCAGGACTCCCCCGCTGCTTGGTCCTTGGGGATGAACATGCTGTGTGGTGGGGTGGGGTGGGGCTGTCTGCCATCTTGGCTGGTGCCGAGACCCAGGAGTGGTTACTGCCTCGTGCTGGCCCCGCCCTCATGACATCATAGGATGGAGGCTAGGTCCAGTGTCCGGCACTGGTCCCTGCAGCTCTGGGAATGGCTGAGCCCCTGCAGTAATGACAATAGGGACCGTCATCCCCATGTGAAATTACTGACCAGCACTTGGTGCCAATCCAAGGTGTGCTTCCCACACGCCCCTCTTGGGCGAGTCAATGCCCGCCACAATTAAAACACGTTATTTCTTAATTAGAACAATAACACTTTAAAGCTGCAGCTGAATTTAAAGTTTGGCGATGGCTGGGCTAGTGTTCCCGGAGGGAGCCGGCGGCGGTCCCTTTGCGTGTCCTGCGGAGACCCTGGCTGGCGGGGCAGGTGGGGCTCACCCTCTCTCTGCCCCCAGATTCCGATGGAGCTTCCAATGGGGAAGTCGATGCTGGTGCTGCTTACCTTCTTGGCCTTCGCCTCGTGCTGCTTTGCTGCTTACCGCCCCAGTGAGACCCTGTGCGGCGGGGAGCTGGTGGACACCCTCCAGTTTGTCTGTGGGGACCGCGGCTTTTATTTCAGTAAGTAGCTCGGTGGGTGGTGGGGCAAAGGGGAGGGGCGCACACAGCGGGTGCCGAGTGAATGCTGGGGTCCTGGCTCTTCCTCAGACACCCAGGCAGAGCCTCGGGCGGCCGGGCTTTGGAGAGTGCCGTTGGGGACTTGCGGCTGTATTTATTCAGTGCCTGAGGCGCTCACACCCCTGCAGGGGGACTCTAACTGGGAGGACCCATGGTCTCCTCGGGGGCAGGACAGCCGGGGTTGGGGTGCCGGCAGGACTTCCAGATGGGGAGAGGCAGCCTCTCCCTGACCTGCCTGCAGGCAGGGCTGTGGCACCACTGGGATGCCTGACATTTTGACAATGGGCACATATTCATGGGTGAGCAGATTTAAAATGTGATAAAATGGGTTGCAAACCAACGGAACAAAAGCACAGGTTGCTGGCGGGTGTGGTGTGCGTGTGCACGCCCGCCCCTGGCGTCCTCGGGCGTGGGGGACAGGCAGGAGAGGAGAGGAACCCCTGTCCTCCCAGTGCCACTGGGGCCGGGTGTTCGGGGGACGGGGGACCTGGCTGGGGCCAGTCAGCAAGTGGTCCTGGCACTTCCTTCTGCGGCCTCCACGTACCCACCCTGCGCAATTGGCCCACCAATGCCAGTCTTGGCGTTTAAAATTTCCCTTTGAAAAGCATTCCTGATTTTTGAACTTTTGAAGCCCCTGCCCGCCTGGCCTCACCCGTGCCCTCTGTCCCTTGCCTCCCTTAGGGGCAGGAAGAGGCACTTTAGGATTTGGTGGTGCTAGTTGGCCCTTGCTCCCCTGCACCAGGCTCCCGGGAAGGGGCCTTTATAGGGGCTCCTCCCCCTGCCCCCACCAAGGGCGCCGGAGACTTGGAACCCGGGGGAGGCGAGGGGGGGACGGGAGGAGAGGAGGGCGTGGTTTTCTGCAGGTCCTCACTCCTCTTCTCCCGTCTTCTTCTTCCTCCCCCCATTCCTACCTCTCAGTGTCTCCGCTGTGGGCCGCCGGCCCCGGCTTACTTTAGGGTGGCACACGTGTCCCAGCCTGGCCTTCAGGACAGGACCCTGCGGTCCCGGAACGTGGGGGTTGGACCCCTCGCCGGGCAGCCCCTGAGCCCATTCTCTAAACCGTTCTGGGCCTGGGGCCCCGGAGGCTGTTCCCGGTTTCCATTTTCGGTCCCAGGAGGGAGGCCCCAGCAGGCCCGGGGCGGGATCCTGGGCGCCCCCAGCCCGCGCCCGGCGCTGACGCCCCTCCCCCGCTTCCAGGCAGACCAGCCAGCCGAGTGAGCCGCCGCAGCCGTGGCATCGTGGAAGAGTGCTGCTTCCGCAGCTGCGACCTGGCCCTCCTGGAGACCTACTGTGCCACCCCCGCCAAGTCCGAGAGGGACGTGTCCACTCTCCCGACCGTGCTTCCGGTAAGGCCTGCTCCCCTCCGGAGAACTGAGAGCCGGCACTGCCGAGCGGGGGGCCAGGGCGCAGCGAGCTCCTTTGCTGGGAATGCAGCTGGAGAGAAAGTCCTGTGTCCCCCACTGGGGACCTTGGCACCGCAGGGCTCCGTGGCTGCCGGTCCCTGGCAGCGTGCCAGGGTTCGGTAGGTGCCCCTTGGGGTACCGCGCACCGAGGGCCACAGCTGGCACCCCTTGACTGGCCCTTCCCTCCCAGGACAACTTCCCCAGATACCCCGTGGGCAAGTTTTTCCACTACGGCACCTGGATGCAGTCCGCCCAGCGCCTGCGCAGGGGTCTCCCTGCCCTCCTGCGTGTCCGCCGGGGTCGCATGCTGGCCAGGGAGTTGGAAGCCTTCAAGGAGGCCAAGCGTCATCGGCCCTTGATTGCCCTGTCCACCCACGACCCAGCTGCCCACGGGGGTGCCTCTCCAGAGGTGTCCAGCAATTGGAAGTGAGCCAAATTGTCGTAATTCTGCGAAATGGCCCCACCCTCCTCCTGCTCTCCTCTTGACCAAAGACCTTGCCATCAGGTCCTCCTCTGCGCCGTCCTCCCAGGGGCCCCGCCCCGCCCCCCGCCCCAACCTCCCTAGTCAGGCTACTCTGCCCAGCCCCCTCCATCGGGCTCCAAACACATGTAAAACCAATTGGCTTTCACTGTCTCCCCAAATGATCCCCCAAATGATCCCCCCAGACGATCCCCCCAAATTGTCCCCCCAAATTACACAACAAAATTTGGAAAACACAAACCCACGCGCACATACTACATACACCAGCCCCCTTAAAACTGATTGGCTTTTTAAAAACACCAGAAAAATAAATTAACCCCCCAAAACTTAAAAAATCAATTGGCTAAAAATATTCTAAAAAACGAATTGGCTTAAAAACAATTGGCAAAATAACTTAATTTGGCGCCCCCGGCCCCTCCTCCTCTTCCCCTTTGGACCTTGAGTCAAATTGGCCTTGGGCTCAAGTTCCTGACCATCCAGGAGAAAGGAGGGGACCCCAAATTTTCAGGTGGGCATGTCATTGCTTCCCAGCCGCCTCCCTGCTCATGCAACACTCTTGGGCACTCTCACTGTTAACTGGCCTCAAACCACAGCAACCACCAGCCTCACCCCCTCCGCCCTCCACTCGTCACCAGGGAGCTGGCTGGGGGCCAGTGATACCAAAGGAGGGAGCGGAACATGAAAACCAAAATTGGCAAACTCCAAAGTCCATCCTTCAAAAAATTCACACACCCCAACATCTAACACATCTATGCCCACCTAAACACACACACACACAACACAACACACACACACACACAACACACACACAACACACACACAAACACCACACACCCACACAACACACCCACACAACACACCCACACACACAACACACACAACACACACACCCACACACAACACACACACCCATACACACCCATACACAAACACACACACTCTCACCCACACACATACACATACAAACACCCACACAAACACACACACAACACACACACACTCTCACCCACACAAACACAACACACCCACACACACACACTCTCACACACCCTCACACACCCACACACACACTCTCACACACCCTCACACACCCACACACACACTCACACACACACACTCACTCACACCCTCACACACACACAGGATGGATGGGAACAAGGAGAAGGAATAGATTAGATCGCATTTCATCCCAAATTCTCTGGAAGAGGTTTTCATGTTCCCAGCTCTCCTCCAGCCCCTGCGATGCGTCCTCGGTAGGGCGGGTGTGTCCCAGGCCTGGGGTGGTGTTCCACCTTTCTGAGATGAGGGAGGTGCCCTTCCTTGTCGCGCCGCGGCCCCCGTCGTGTGAGCCGATGCCCCCAGACCCATCCGCGCACCCCGCCATCGTGTGCCAGCGAGGATAGGATGTGGCCAGACCAGAGGTGCTGAGCCAAGCGAGACGTGCTCCCCGCCCGTAGCCTGACCCCAGGTGTGCTCTCTGGAAGATCTGGGCCTCGCCCCCGCACACCTGGGCTCATCTTTGCCGGCCTCCTGGGCAGCTCTCAGAAATGGGGGCCCCAGGAGGCCGGCAAAGATGATGGGGAGTGTGGGAAGTCTGGCGGTTGGAGGGGTGGGTGGGGGGCAGTGGGGGCTGGGTGGGGGGATGCTCTGGGGAAGGAAGTGGCCCACTGAGGTTTTGGCCCAAAGTCTAGAGAAAGTGTTGAGGAGACTTGTGGAATTACAGATGCCAATCAGAAACCCAAATTGACGCCAATTGATCTATTCCCCCCTTTGATTCGATGCTCCTGGGGCTTGTTTCCGGTTTTTTTTTTTCCCCCTTCCTTGGCTTTTCACGCGCTCACACCACAGTATATCGTCTCCCGCCCCGTAACAGGGGAGCAGTGACCGAAGTTCCGTGCGAAGCGACCGTCTGCAGCCACCACGTCCTGCTCTCCGCCATTTATCGTCCTGCCTTTGATTTTTGTAATCTGTCCCTGTCGCTTGGGTTGAATTGAGAGTGGTGTCTCTGTGGGCGCTGGCCACGGCGCCCACAGAGGAGTCCCAGGGGAATGGAGAAGGGCCGCTGCCCGGCCTGGCTTCCCGGGACGGTGGCTGGTCCCGGGGGGTCCTGAGGGGCGGAGGAGGGGCGGGGTGGCGTCTCCCCAGGTGTCAGGAAGGTGCTCGGAGGCCATCAGGAAGGGGCCCCCGGCTGGCCAGAGGCTGCCGGGGGGGAAGGGACTGTGTGAAGAGGAGCGCCATCGGGCTGGAGCAGGTGGCTGCCTTCCGCGCACTTGGGGAGCTCTCCCCCCACCCCTCGGTGACACCTTGCCCGCCTCCTCAGCACCCTGTCCGGTCCCCAGGAGGTTGGAGCTCCGCGCGCCTCCTAGGGACCAGGCGGGGTGAGGTTGGGTAGTAGGGGACGTCAGAAGGGAGCACCGTAGAGCAAGAGAGCTGTGAGGTTGTTGACTTGGCAACCGGGGTTGCTCGGGCCCCGAGGCCCATGGGTCTGGTACCGACCCAGCCACCATTCATCTTGGTGCCTAGGGTTGCCGCAGGGAGCCGGGCGGCTGGGAGGTTTACCTCCCCCCACTTCTGCCCCCAGCTTAGCCCCCCTGCAGGCGACCCCACTAGCAGTCTAGAGGCCCAAAGCTTTGGGGCCCTGGCAACAGGGCTGGCATGACCCCGGGGGCGGTCCATGCCAGCCCGCCCTTGGCACAGAGGGTCCCTCGGCAAGAGCCTGGGGAATGGGCCATTCGGAACATTGGACAGAAACCCAAAGAGCCAAATTGTGCTTAATTGGAGAACCCAGACAGATTGGCCAGAGATCCAAAAAAACTTAGAGGCGCCCCAAATTGCCTGCCCATTCGGCCGGAGGCTCATCCCACCCAGCGTTACATTCGCCTCAACGGGATGGGCACTCCGGGGGCACCTGCCGACGTTCCTCTGTGCCCCCCAGTGAGCAGCTCTCCACGGGTCACCAGGCATCCTGACCCCAGCTCCCCGCTGACCTCCCGTGCCCACGGTTGTGGCTGTCCATCTCGTCTCTTCCCCGAGCCCTCCCCCCAACAGTCTTCAGTGGGACCCCTCTCAGGTCCCTCCCTGCGCCATCACTGAAGACCCCACGTGCAGAACACTCTGTCACCCTGCCGCTGTCCCCGCCGATCGATCGCACAGCGGCTGTGTTCGCCTCAGTTCGGCCCCTTTAACATGCTGTCTCTGGCAAAACCTAATGCCTGGGTTTTGTCTTTAACCCTCAATGCTCGCAACCCCAATAAAGTATTCAAATGCATCTTGTTCTGAGTCCTCTGCTCTTTGCCTTGGGCGCGGGTCGAGGGAGGGAGAGGGGGAGATCCCGAGATGTGGATGCCCCTCTGCCCCTCACAGCTCACAGTGAAGCGAGACCACCCGGAGTCTGTCCCTCGTGGCCGTGGCCATGCACAGACCAGGGGCTCTGGGACAGTCTCAGGCACCAAGTCCTCAGAAACGGGCTGCCATGGGGTGGGGGTCTCTCCCGGGATGAGAAGGGGGTCGCTCCAGCTTCCAGCTCCAGGGAACCCTTCTAGCTGTGGGCGACAGGGGTTCTGAAGTTCTAGAAACTGCAGCCACAGCTGAAAATGGGGGCTCAGCTGCTCACACCTGGGGCTCCTGTCACCTGGGTGCTCCCCGGCACAGCAGACACATCCCCCTCCCCCGAGTCCCTGGAAACCCCTACCCCGCTCGGCCCTGAGCCCCCAGTCCGACTGCCCTGACTTCAGACCTTCGGGGCTCCTGGCAGAGGCTGGCGTCCAAGTTTGCAGGAGGCCTGGTCCCTTCATCCCCAACCCCAGCCCCCAGCCGGTGGGCCCACTGCAGGGAGAGGGGCGGAGGGGTGGGGACCCAGGAAGTGGAGGCTGTGCCTAGGGGCCGGGTGGCATTTGGTGACTGACTGTTCTCAAGCAAGTCCTCCGGGGTCTGGAGAGGCACCCACAGGGACAGCCACGTCACCCCAGCTGGCTGGGAATTAGTCCACGCGGAGGGGGGGCTGCCTGGAGGAGGGGCAGGCAGTCTGAAAGCGTGAGGGGCTGGAGGGGTGGCAAAGAGAACTGGGGGCCTCGTGCAACTGTTGGGGCAGGCAGGGGCCTGGGGGCCAGGGTGGGGGAAGGGGCCAGGTCCCCGCCCCCAGTGCGATGCTCTGAGACACCTCCAGGGGCTGGGGGTGTGGGCCCAGCTCAGGACCCTCTGCCCACTCATACCAGACTGGAGCTTCTCTCCCGGGGGCCGGGCCTGCACACCAAGGCCCATCCGTCCTGCCTGGGCCCCTCCTGGAGCCCTCAGCACCCTGGGCTCAGGGTCTCCTTTCTCCCCGCTCTGTACAGACTGCGCCCTGTCAGCGCCCTGGCTCACCTCACCAGGGTCTCCCCTCGCAGCAGCCCACCCCACCTGCAGCCTGCATTCCCAAGACCCCCGTGATCTCCGCGGACCCCTAGCAGCCGAGGGCACAGCCGTGTCCTCGCCCAGCCCTCCCGGGTTAGCCCGGACCCCCATCAGCCTGCTGCTGCCCCCACCTCACCCTGCTTGCCCACCGCCTCCCAGTTTTTCTGAGTTTGCTGGTCCCTCTCTTCTCCCCCTGCTCTGCCAACCCTCCGCCCACCCCGTCCGTTCACACGTATGATGGGTGCCCATGTGCAGGGTGCCACGGGCTCAGTGTCTTGGAGGCGAATGTTGGGGGAGAATGTTGGGGGTGCTCTGTTTTTTGAATCCTCACCGGAGGATAAGTCTTCATTGATTTGGGAGAGGAAGGGAGAGGGAGGGAGGGAGGGAGGGGGAGAGAGGGCAACATCCATCAGTTGCCTCCTGCACGCACCCTGACCAGGGACGGAACTCAGGCCTGGGCATGTGCCCTGACCAGGAACCAGACCCGTGACCTTTTGGTGCACGGGATGACACTCCAGCCAACTGACCCACCCGGCCAGGGCAGGGGTGCTTTTTCCTCTTTTTAAAATTTTTTAATCCTCACCCGAGGATATTTTTCTGTTTATCTTCAGGCAGAGTGGGAGGGAGAGAGAGGGAGAGAGAAAGACAGCAATATGAGAGAGCCACGTTGACTGGTTGTCTCCCGCATGACCCCACCCAGGGCCAGGGACCGAACCGCGACCAAAGCATGTGCCCTTGACCGGAATCGAACCCGTGACTGTGGTCTGCAGGCCGACGCTCTAACCACTGAGCAAAACAGGCTAGGGCTGCTTGCTTTTTTTTTCTAATGTATCTTTATGGTTGAAAGTGTCACAGGTGTCCTTTCCCATGGCGGGTCCGGCTTCAGGGAGAAGTGACGTTGGTGTGCAGGCCTGGAGGTGGGTAGGGGCGTGGGTCTCC